CTGAGAGCGGACGTGCGTTATAACGGTCTCGACGTGTCGATGAATATTAATATACCTATAATATATTGTACATTGACTAGCCCTCAAAAACAATGCAAGTCTAACAAGTTTCGCTATGGTTTCAGTTTTCAGCCGCACACATGTATATGTGTGTCATTTCCATATACTAATTTATTAAAAAGGTATTTTTGACAACTTATTTTTCACAATACTGCGGTCGTGGGCAAAAATGCATATAGGCATGCAGCAGACTTTGCGTACACGCCGATGATAGTCTTAYAAATCGTATTATAAATATTTTRTTCATCAGTAGCCAGCTAATAACATACACATAGGCACCAGTTGTATTGTAATATGAGGTATCTACACTAGTTTAAAATTAATAAAATATGTTGTAAACTCATGTGTTGAACTCATTGTATTCGCGTTTAATTGGACATTGCAGTTATCATCTTGATGACGTTATACAAAATTTGCGATTTCTCATTTATCAGACAATACTATAAGAATATTATGCTTAATAATGATTGTATATTAATGTTTATTATATACCATACAAGAAAGTCCCCGTATGAGGTCATAATTATTATAAAGAATTATTATAATTGCGATCGATTTCATATTTTATACCTGCCTGTTTTGTATATATCCGACAATTATCTGCAAAATCATTCAAGCTTTTTGATATTATTTTATTATTATTATAATTATTTTAAGATCTGAAAAACCTATTAAATAATTGCTGGTCAAATTTTCTGAATTTTTATGTTTTAAAACACTGTATAGTTGTTTCCAAGAAACTATTTAAAAAAAATGCAATTGTCATATCGAATTTAGCAAAAAAAAAAAAATTGGTATAAAAGATCGAAGATCCGTTTCATTTTCTTTTCGCATTATATATTTTGTCGTCATGTGTCATAACGGGAATCACTAAACGAGACGTCTCGTCATGGCATTTCAGTTATTATATTTTAATTTTTTTTTTAATGTAATAAAATTATTATAAATTCATCAATTATTAATATATTTATATTTTATACATAAATCTGAGCACCTATTAATTTATGAATTTATTTTATAAACTATAGTTAAGTTTAATGATTTCACCACTAGAATTTTAATTAAAAAACAATAACCTATTGAATGCCGTAATTTGGATTAGTACCAATGATTTTTCTTTTGCAATTTCTATTTTTAATAGTTGGCTATCTACTATACAGTTTTAAATTTTAACTAAACATAATTTTAATTACCGTAATCTTAATAATAATGTTATTTCTGTGGGAACTACACACATTTTATAACTTTATATCGTAATAATAAATGTGTTAATGACCTCTAATTCTGTAACAGTGTATACAATGTAAATCGTATGATTGTACAAGGATAAGTATTGTTTAAGTTCCTCCAAAACACAAATTATTCTGAAAAAATGTTGGCTAGGTTAAATCTAACGCAAATAAATGTCAAAATTAATTAGGTTGCCATGAAAAATATAACTTTAACAAATAGGTATTGTTTTAGACAAATTTAGTTAATAGCTATTGTATTATATATTGACATTAAAAAATAACGATAAAACGTTAGCTTTATAACACAGTTTACAAAGATTAGTCTTACAAAAATGATTTGAAAACATTTGTTTGCCTATTATTTCTGCTTTTAATAATAGTCTTTATTTTAATTTTAAGAACTCAGAATCTATGGGCTAGATGAGAGTACGATATGGGAAACTATTAATTTTTCTTAAACATATTTAATACAATTTTTTAGATTTTAGTCTACAAAATTTTAATCAAATTATACAACCATATAATTCGGCTGATGAATGTTTATTGAAAATACAAATTATCTTAAGAAAATTGACATCGAATTAAATTAAATATAGTACTGGGAAAAAACTATACTTTTAGATTTTAAATAAATTTATATTATCACATTAAATATTTTTTCTAGTGTACATTTCATGCAACAAATTGCATTTAATTCTTTACATTATTAAACTGCATATAAATTACACTTTCAAACTATTTTATACGCATCAGTTACTGYTTAAACACCAGTTGTATTATGTATGGGATATGATAATCTTTGATGCGGATCATGACGCGTAATTTTCTTATTTTGTCATCTCATTGTTGCATCGCAATATTTAATTGTAATACGTTAACGTATTGACTTAATATCTACTTAAAAAAAAAAACAAAACACGTTCTTAAAATCCGTATCCACGATGTAACTTAATCAATTTAATCGATACTGTTATAGTGTTAGGTCTTAATAGAACACGAGTCTTATAATACAATTTATACTATTATTTAATTCTATTCAGAACCTCTGCATTCATATCTGTTGCAGATTTGACGTAAATATTTTAATTATACGCATAGTGATGATGATAAAATATACTATATTGACAAAAAAATAAAACAAACAAGTAAGACGAAAATAAAAATAAATATGTAAAAAAAAAATAGGTAATCTTTAACAATTTAACAAGAAACTCAAAGTAGGCACCGAAATAACCCTAGTGAAACGTKGACTCACGATTTTTTCTGTATTTGGGTATAATCGTCACGATAAATTCAACGTCGCAGGCCACCTAAAATTCTAATTAATAACAAATGTACCTATATGACTTACAGTAGTTTTTCGTATGCTATTTATCGTAAAGTAATAGTAACTGACGACTAATTCATAAAACAATGACGATACACGAACGAGGGTGAACAGTCACATGCGAAATCAATGTGTTGACACACACATAGACATATTATAATCGTGTTAAAACTATAGTACAATATAAGAATATTTAACTTTTTAGACAACGACACTTATTGCAATGGTTGCAGAGCGAACGACGGATAWCAAAGTCATAGAATATTATAGTACTTTATATTATTATATCTAATGATGAAAAAAATTTTAAAAAATGTGAAAAAAAATACATAATTATTGTATACTTACGACGTGTGATTATCGAGTCGACCGGTTGGAATACGCGGCAGAATAATAATATATTATTCCAGGAGTTTACGCGAACGGTACGCGCAACACTGTTTATTGTAGAGCGTCTTCGACTTTTCAATTGGCAAATATCGCGATGTGTCGGCGGCGCAGTTGTACCGGTTGCGGAATGGACACTGACTGAACGAGTCGGAGAGCGCGCGCGCGACCGTGTGTGGGCAAAGCGAATTCGATCGAACGGGCGGAGAAATGGAAAGAAAGGAATAGAAAGAGAATACGAAAAAAAATTCATATACACATACTTATATTATATATTTTGTGTGCGTGTGTGCGCGATAAAGGGGACGCGGAAACTGCTGCAGCTATATAGCAGTAGGTCACCGGGTTCCCCCGTGGTGTGTCTGCAGTGCATATACGCACGCAGTCGATRGGTAATATATAATAATATGTATATATATATACATATGATGGTCTTGATGAGTTTCGTTTGGTCTGCACATGATATCCTATTGCGGTAGTCAATCCACCTCCACCTCTTCCGCTACCGAACCTATAATATGTACATCCACGTGACGCATAATATATTCGGTATAATGGCACCTCCCTCTCTTCGCGTGCAGACGAACGAAAGGGCTCCCGCTCGAAAAATACCGTAGCAGTTTGTTGTATATATCTAGTATAGGTAGATATAATATTATACCTATGTTTTTAAGCGTGAGCTCCTATTTTACCTGTTTTTCTCGGCTTTTTTTCATCTGCTCTTGACAGAAATTCCATACTTTTTTTGAAAATAACGATTTTTTACGTAAACAGATATTTTGCTGTTTTTTTGATACGTAAATATGATATTTAAAATATGATATAATATTGGAATGCTACGAGCATATCAACTTGTTTCCAATAATAATTGATGTCTGTAAGTGAATAATGATTATTGATTATATTGTTTTTATAATCTATGATGATAGAGGCGTTAAATACAGCTGTTAGTTGAGTGACGAGTTGTATTTAGTAATATTTTAAATAAAACAAACTTAACTATTAGTAAATATTTTTATTTAATTAAAATCAAAATTATATCTGCAGATTTATAAATTTTAATACTATACATGTATGTTATACGACTGCATTACTGCTTTATTAACTTATACTTTTATATTAATAACTATGTAGTGTAGGAACACTAGGAACTATACAAATATAATTTGTAAATTTAGTAATACGATTAAAATTTATATTATTTTGATAGTAATTTTATTAAAGATTGTATCATCCTTTTTTTATGTAGGTATATTTAAAATAATTTTAATTTAAAAATAAATAAATTACGTTTTGCATTCGTAGATGCTTTAGCATAGAATATTAAACTAAACAGTTAATTTTAATTTTTTAATTAATAACTATAATTTTCTATAAGTTTAAACGATGGCTTTTAATATAAAKATACATAATATTATAGTATATTAAATTGTTTTTCAGTAAATACACACATTTTTTGAATATGTATTATAATATTTTATCTTTACATATACTGCTAAACATCTATGGTTGTTATCAGTGATTTTAATGTATCGGTACCAACAGTTTAAATTTTAACGCATAATAAACCAAGACAATCGATATGGAAAAATCTTAAGTTTAGTGTTATTAAAAATTCTGTTATATTTCAGGTTGCGCTGCACATCTTTATCAAATATAATAGACATATCCTCAGGTGTCCTCGATTTCGCTTTTAATTTTTATTATTAATGAATAATGATGTTTTCATTTTTCACCATTATGCATACTAACAATTCATTAATGACTTGAAATTATATTTTACTATTATTCCATTCAAAAATTGCCCATGAGGAGACTATAATATTACACTATTCTATAGATTCGCATTTGATACTAAAATAGGCAATGTAAYAATCAAGTATTCGCGAGTATAATTTCTGTAGATACAATGAACACCCATCATGTCGTTGGACATGCAATTATTTTCTTTAGGTATTAAAATATTATCAGACGATCAATAATTAAAAGATTTTCATTTTTTTAAATAGCATAGTTTTACTTTCCACATTTTTTCCATACGTCACACTTGCTTGTATTTAKTTACTTATAGTATTGTAGGATTCTAAAATGTWATTAGTGTAAATATCCAACCAAAATTTACTTACAGAATATAAACTAAYAACATTTATATTATAACTAGGAAACGGTTTGAATGCTCTAAAAAACAAAAAAAAATACGATTAATTGCACTCATATCGGAATTATTTTTAAAAAAAGTGCTCTTAAAATTATTTTTAACACAGAAAAAAAATTGTTTTGTCATTATATGCATTTTTATTTTTATTAATTATTCGTATGATTTTATCATTTGTCTTCTTATTTTACCCTAAAAATTGTACCGATAAAAAGATCATAAATGACAAAAATTGTACGACGAGAGAAAATAAMTGATATTTTATTTTATTCTTTTAGAAATAATTTTAGTAAATTTTTATATTCATTAATATTCATTCGTATATAAAAATGACTTAAAAACATAAAAATTGCATACATTTTTTTTACTTCTTGATATATGTCTGTTTACTGTTTATATATTATACGTATATAATTTTAGTGTTTGAAAAGTAATATTTTTGACAATTCAGAAAAAAGTACATTTATATATATATATATTTTTTTTTTATTGAATTAAGGTTTCAGAGTCCATGGTTATTAGTCCTGAAGGTTGTCTAGTAGATTTTGAACTGTGGCAAGAATTTGTTATTAAAACTCGGGTGGTCACCCATCCAGTAACTAGTGACACCCACTGATGCTTGACCTCAGAACACGTTTGTGACTAAGGCCAACCATCGTGCCACGCCAGGTCATATGAAGTATATTATTATTTTTTGTTGTTTATTATTATTAAAATGTTTCTGCACGTTATGTGCTATTACAAGTAAATTATAATATAGAAATTCTAAGTGTGTTGCAAAATATGTAGTACGATGGATCAATATAGAACGCGTCATTAATCTGCGGATTTTTATTTCTCATCGAAATATGTTAAGTAGTTCGAGTGCAATAATAAGAATATATTATTCTACTTAATAGGTTACACTTATTATCTAGTGGCACATAATATTGTGATTATTCTGTGTGTGGAAGCCGTTTTCGACTTAATGATTGACACAAGTAGCGCTTGGCCGTCGTAATTTATTTATTTTTACTTTTTTCCTCRACCGGGAGAAAGCTCTGAAACAATAGGAACCGAAAATCCGGATAAACATTATAATATACAATATTAATATATTATTATTATATGCGAGTATTTTTACAATATCGATGATGAAAACAGACGAAATCGTATGCACACTCCCGTATGTCACAATGGCTAGTGTTTACGGTTTGTTAGGGACTTACCTATGACGGTCGTTTATGTTTTATTTTTCACACACACACGCGACTGTCTCACTCTGTCGCAGTCTATTTCTCTCTAATTGTGTGTGTGTGTGTGTGTGCATGTCTCTCTTTCTCTCTCTCAGTTGCGCCGCGTAGGACAACGAGACTGTCATCCGGCTGACGACCGAAAGTTTCAATCTCATTCGATATTTGACAATTGACAGACAATAATAGGACCCTATTCAAACGAAAAACACTAAAAAAATTAGCCCCGTTATTGTACGCACCAACTCCCACATACGTTTGGGGCGTTGAGAATTTTTAATTTTGCGGCCAACGGGTCAAGTCTTACGTGAGTTGAAATACATTTTGGATATTAGTTAAATATGCATTATAGGTAGTACACTATATAGTACGTATGCCTACTACGCGGTGTAGGATAATATTATAGTTATTGTAGGTACATAAATAAATATAAGCACGTGGCACATGGCGCTGACACGGAAAACAATGCTTCGATAATAACAACTATAATAATAATAATATTCTTATTACATTAATTATTACAATATTATCATCATTATCGMAATAATTCCGATTATTTATAATCAACGGTATATTATAATGTCATAAGTAAAGTAGGCGGTACGTTCTAAACCCCGAAATATTATAAATACCTAACAAATTACCATTTTTTTATAATAATAATATTGTTATTGCCTGCAGACAGCGATTACCTATATGGCTATTTAATTTTTAGTAGGTATAGCAACGGGTGTGTTACTAAATTCATTCGTGCAGATCACATGCGCGTGTGGAAATGTCCTAATGTTTGTGTTATATTATTGCTTACTATAATGTTTGGTATCCAACTGCATACCCACCCATMCATCCATCCACCCAAAAAAATTCCACCATAACGCCTGGTCGTCATTAAACCCATTTCACCACGCCACTGTCGGAATTATACAATACACGTGTATTAAAATTGGATTACTATTATTCCCGAGGTGCGTGTAGTTTTTACGCGTATGTATATTATTATTTATAATATATTTATTATGTACCTATTATACCTACAATATTGTCCGAATTTTAGTTTTTGCTCACATGAGCTATAGCATCTATAACTTATGAAACTATAATACCCATCTAATTTTCACATTTAAAACCGCATCACACTTATGATTTCGACTTCAAAAGTTCGATAGAAAAATCCACACACTTTATCGACTCATTGTACCTACATAGCAAAATATCGCACACTATTTTGAATCTACAGACCAAGCAGATATATTCCATGTATCTGAGAGAAGGAAGCTTTTACCAGGTTTAACCAAAAAATCGATAGAAGGTTCACATTTCGTTTTATACTATAATTGTTCTACTACCTCGCAAAATCAAAATAAATCACTTATGTTTACAATTTATTTATAGGATGAAATTATTATTAATGTAACATGAAAAAAAGTATAGAATTCTAATGTGATGAGCTGCTAATGGCAATTTATTTTGATTTTGTTATTTAAATTAATATATAATCTATATTACGTTTTATGTTTAAAAATGATCATGTTTTACATTTTTAAGCAATTAACAATTGTTAGTTTTTGATACAAAAATATTATAAATATTTATAAAGAGTACTGTTTCGATATAATATCTTGCATGTGCTTTCACTACGCTATTCCTAGGAAACATCATCTGCCTTTTAGATCTTATTGTAATATACATAATGTACAAACATATTTTTTTAAATAAAAGATAATTGGTTTTAATGATTTTTCTATGGCTTCACATATGTTTTTCTCAACTTTCGAATTGAAGCGTTTTATAAAGATGTATTTATTAAGTTTTCATGGACAAATGTTATCATCGTGTTTTCATTTTAGTACATATTGATACATACGGAATAATATATTTAGAATATTATTATATATTATATTTTTAAAGAGA